CCTCAAGTCTGTGCCTCATCTGGTTCTGATACTTCTTTTTCTATTCAGATAGTTTTTCTTCCTTGTTTTGTGTGTGTGTGTGTGTGCGTGCACACTGGATATGGTATATTGGGCCATATGAACTGAAATAAACAGGCCTTTAGTAAAGGGTTAATGTTTCTCAGCCAGGAACTGAGCCCTTAAACATTTTTCATTCACTATGTTTATGTGCATGCATGCAAGTGTGAGACTGCACTTGTGGAGGTCAGAGTGCAGTTTGCAGGGATCGAACTTGCCTTTGAACATGTGAGTTCAGGCTGGAGAGATGGCTCAGCAGTTAATAGCACTAGCTACTTTTCCAGGAGACCCTGGTTCAGTCTCCAACACCCATCGGCAGCTCACAACTGTCTGTATCTCCAGTTCCAGAGGATCTGACACCCTTATACATACATGCAGGCAAAACACCATTGCACACAAAAATAAATAATTTAAAAAAAAATGTGAGTTCTGGGAATGTGACTCAGGCTCTCTAGATGAGCAGCAAGCACCCTTACCTGCTGAGCTATGTCACTTCACAGGCCCATTTCTAATGGTAGACATTTAGCTGCTACCACCTTCAGTTTCCTCTAGAGCAGTGTCTCTTAACCTTCCTAATGCTGTCACCCGTCAATACAGTTTCTCATTGTGCTGACCCCAAACCATAAAATAATGTTCATTGCTGCTTCATGACTATAATTTTGCTACTGTTATGAATGAGAATGTAAATGTCTGATTTGTAGGCTATCTGGTATGCAGCACCTGAAGGGGTCGAGATCCACAGGTTGAGAACCACTGCTCTAATGCCTTTTGTTTGTTTGTTTGTTCTACCCTTCAACCCTTTCCTTTCCCGAAAAACTGTAAATAGGTGTCTTGCTTGCACCACTTTTTAGCGATGACCCATTGTTCTGTACTGGATTCCTGTTGAAATGGTGGGAAAGAATAAGATGGGGAAAGTGCTTTGTAATCTAGGGCTTCAATTGGGCCCAAATCCTTGGCTGAATTCCTAGGGATGCTGCTTCTTTATTCCCCCATGTTAGGTGAAACAAGGAACATGAAGACTAGAGCTAATTAATTCCCCTTCTTCCAGGGTATCTAAGCTTCTGATATATTTTGTTGGGGGGTCTTAGCCTTTGTTATTGAAGAACATTCTGAACTTATTTGAACTGGGCCAGGTGGACAGACTTGTAATCCTGGCTATTTGAGAGGCTGAAGCAGGAGATTCTAAGCACAAGGTGGACCTGGGAAACAAGAGTGAATTTACTTGAAAACTGTTACTTTCTCCAGTATACATTTTAAAAATGCTTACGTTTTCCTTCCCCAAAGAGGAATTTTGTGGGGTTTTGTTGTTGTTGTTGTGGGGGTCTTTTTATTGCTATTTTGTGATTTTGTTTGTTTGTTTGAGATAGGGTCTCCGTGTAGCTCTGGCTGTCCTGGAACTCCCAGGCTGGCCTAAAACTGCCTCTGTCTCTCAAGTGCTGGCCTTAAAGACAGGCACTACCATGCCTAGCAAGGAAGAACTTCTTTTTTATATAAATTTTTATTTAAATTAAAAACAATCTTATTTTATTTATCAATCCCAGTTCCCTCTCCCTCCCATCTTCCCTTGCCCCCAACTGACCCTCCCATCCCACCCTCATCCACTCCCCAGGGAGGGTGAGGCCTTCCATGGAGGATCATCAAAGTCTGTCACATCATTTTGAGCAGGTCCTAGGCCCTCCCCCATGTATCTAGGCTGAGGGAGTATCCCTCCATAGAGAATGGACTCCCAAAGTCCTGTGCAGAACTTCTTATTGGTCCTTTCTTCCTGGGATATTTGGGAATGGCTACCTTTCCTCTCCTACAAAGGGGAGGAGATTTCAGAGTCAGAGCCTGGTGAAATTGCTGGAGGCAAAGCTACAGAGTAGGAGGGTTTCTTCCTATTGGAACTCTCACTGCACAAGCTTGTCTCACTCAGCATTTTCAGGTTTATTTTCTTTACTAATACTTTCCTTTAGCACCTTGTGCCTCAGGTAAGTGTCTTGGTTGTGATTGCATGTATTTATCCATCTAGAGATAGGGGGCTGTTTTGCCCCATGTCCTCAGTTTTCTGGTGGGTTGGAGCAAACTTGCCAATTTTAAATTAGGGTTTTTCTTGCTGTAATGACAGGAATGATGATATATCTAAGCACTGCATGTGTTGGAGCTGAAACTGGAAGTCCTACGTTTATATTTTAAAATTAGAAAGATCTTGTCCAGTTTAAAAATAATGTTCTGCAAGAGGGTTTTCAACTTTGCTGTGAACCATTTGCTTAGCTACGATGACTCATTCTCAGTTATTTTCATCCTTTTGAATCTTAGATCTCTATTTTCATATGTTTAGTAAGAACTTTTTCAGAACAAAATATGTGAAAGGCTTAACTTCATATAGTTATTGAAAATTGCTCAGAACTATACCCTGAATTAATTAAAAATATTATGACTCTTGATTCCTTCCCCAGAATTGTTTTTTTTTTTTTTGTTTTGTTTTGTCAGTTACCTTTCATAGAATATGCTAAAATAGTTATGGGGATTTATTTATTTATTTATTGCTATTTCATCCTATTTATTTTTGCAAAAGTAACTCAATTTCTAAGGTACTTCCAAATCTCTAGAGACTAAGCCCTGTTTAAATGTGACAAATGAACGAGAATAAATGTGGAAGTCTTACTCTGCCAATGACTTGCTTTCAGTTAGCCTTGAGGAGTGAACTAATTATAAACTCTAGATATTGGTGACTTTAGCTTAATAGGACTACTTTTATAATCTGTGCAACAGAGCACAGTTCATCTTAAATGTGTTATTTATCCAGATGAGAAAGTACTCTGTGTACTTTGAAGCCTTATAATTTGATAACTTGCTAACAATTTTAATTTGGGGACACTTCAGTTCTTATTCTCAGATAACAGTTGCAACCAATCTCAGATGATTGACATGCTGTAAATTTCATTAACCCTGCCCCTTTTCTAGGGTTCATTTTAAAGTTTGTTTTTCTCACAGAAAATACTGTTAGGAATGGCTATTAAATCAAGAAACAAATGAGTTGTATAGTGTCTAAAATTAATTATTAATTGGCAAAGTCTTACTGTGTTTGTGTTAAGAAATTTTTACCCATTTTATTACACCCAATTGTTTACAATGACTATCTGTATTTGGGAAAAATGTTTTTTGAAGGAGGTGAATTAAAATGTTAAGTATGATGAATACAATGTTAACTCATCAGATAAAATTAGTTTATACATGATTTGCTGCATTGAGGGTGATTAAGATATTAGTTGGTTGTTATGTAAAAATTATCTGTGGCCCATTCATGGTGAGACTCATTTATTATTCTCTCAATTGGAGACAGAAAGCCCTGCACTCTGCTTTTGCTTTGAGGACTTTGTAATGAAGAAATAGGGGCTATAGGGAGGAAGTGGTTGAAGACTAGCCAATCTTCGGAACTGCTCAGCTCATATTTTGCCTCATACTAGTTTCCACCCACACTAGGAGATGGTATCAGTGCTCCTCCTGAAAATTCTTTCATCTTAAGCTCTCATATAGCAGAATTAAATCCTCCTAAGTGCTGCACCATCTCTGCAGGTACCCATCATTCTTGATATCCTCTTCACATTTTGTTTCCACCAAAACTCAACTTGCACATTATTAGTACAGAGTCCCCATCCTTTTACTGATCTCCATGTTCCTTGCTCTAATCCTGTCCTGCCTGTCCTGCCAGCCTTCCTGCTTGCCCTGCAAGCCTGGGACACCCATACCCATATGTAATTTCTTCCATGGCCTTGTCCTTGTCCTAGTTTCACAGTGTAATCTTTGTTTCAGCATCCAGGCTTTTCTGCTGCTAAGTGATATCTAACATAACTGTTCTGTGACTCTCATCCCTTACACTACCCACTTCCTCAACAGCTATCTCAACTTCCTGCCTTTTAAATTCTTTGAATATAATTAAGTTCTTTGCCTTTCAGATCTTTGCTGTTTCATTCACATCTGGCAATAATTTTCTTATTTCTTGTGTGATTATCTCTAACCAGTCTGGCTGGCTTTTTTACCTTACTCTCTGTCAGTGCCCCCTGGCTGTTATCTTCTCAGCATCTATTTACATTTGCAACTATTGTATATTCACTTGATCACTGAGACATCCTTTGATTATAAGATACAACAAACACACACACACACACACACACACACTTGTTTCTGAAAGTAAGGTGTAAGATACATCGTACACTGGATTTCTTGATTCCTTTTGGAATTATGAAATAATATATAATAAATTTATATCATATATTTAATAAAATGTTATACTTTTTGAGACGAGATTTCATTCTGTAGCTCAGGACACCTCAGTAGGTATCCCAGGCTGATCTGGAATTCACTAGGTAGCAAGTAAGCCTGGAACTCGTGAGTGTTCCTTTGACTTCAGTCTTCTGAGGGCTGGAGGTTACTGTCATGTACCAGCAAAACACCATCTTTGAAATGACCTATTTTCCCCAGTTGATTGTATGTTCCACAAGTATATTCTGTTTTACTCACCAGTAAGAGCCCATGCCCATTACAGTACATTTCATGTAGTATATAATAAATAATGGATGAATGAATATCATTGTCTCTCTTTGGGAAATGTTGGTCCAACCTCTGAAGCTGCATCAATCAGTATATGAGCGTGAATTGTTAATATGCCAAAGAGTTGACTCATTTTTAGAGATTGCTTTATACTGAAATGAAGAAGACCTTTAAATTTATCTGTTTTCCCATTTATGTAACTTGTTTCATTATAGATACACATATGTTCTGGTGTAGGAACACTTTCCATTTATAAAAATGAATTGCCATAAGCTTTAACCTGGTGTCAGCAATATTCTTTTACTAGAAGGAGGCATGAGGAAGGTACCAAACAGCAGCAGGCTTTTAAAGTTTAGGCAGGTATGACTCTTGAACTTACTTTTTCATTTACTTCATCTTCCAAAGCGTGTAATCACTTGGTGTGCCCACTTCCCTTTTAAGTGCAAGAACAACGAAAGCTCAACATGGGTGACTGGAGTGCCTTAGACCAGCTCCTAGAAAAGGCCCAACCCTACTCCACAGCTGGAGGGAAGGTATGGCTCAAGGTCCTTTTCATTTTCCGAATCCTGCTCCTGGGCACTGCCATTGAGTCAGCCTGGAGTGATGAGCAGCTTAAGTTCCATTGCAACACTCAGCAGCCTGGTTGTGAAAATGTCTGCTATGACCAAGCTTTCCCAATCTCTCATGTGCGCCTCTGGGTCCTACAGATCATATTCGTATCTGTGCCTACACTCTTATACCTGGCACATGTGTTCTACGTGATTCGTCAGAAAGAGAAGTTGAACAAGCAAGAGAAGGAACTTGGAGTTGCTCATTTAAATGGTGCCAGTGTGGAAATGCACTTCCATAAAATTGAAGAAAAGAAGTTCAACTGTGACAGTGAAGAACATAATAATGTGAAAATGAAAGGCAGGTTGCTGCTTACCTACATGCTCAGTATCTTCTTCAAGGCTGTCTTTGAGATGACCTTCTTGCTGATCCAGTGGTACATTTACGGATTTACCCTGAAGGAAATTTACATTTGTGAATACCCTCCTTGCCCACATCAGGTGGACTGCTTCCTCTCTCGGCCCACAGAAAAAACCATCTTCATCCTCTTCATGGTAGTGGTGTCCCTGGTGTCTTTAGTGTTGAATATATTTGAGCTGTCCTGTGTCTTATTTAAGGCCATTAAGAATCGTGTGAGACGTGAGGATAATATTTACTGTGGTACAACTGATCTACAGAGCCTTTCCCATGTCTCCTCACCAAATGTCCTTTCTACCATGTTTCCTCAGGATAAGGTGGTTCCTGTGGATCATTCTTTAGTCTGTATTTAAAGTGAACAAAAGCTTGTCAGTTACAGTATATACCAGAGTCAAAGGGGGGAAGGACAGGCAGAAAGTAACCTTCTAGTTTGCACTCAGCCTTTTCTTCGCCCTGATGATAAGCAGAAGAATTCTCAGAGGGTTTGGGTGGAGAGAAAAGCAAAACAAAGATACTGAACACTAACATAGAGTAGCAGCTATCCAGTAATACTGGTCACAACAATAGCAGCCTGATATCCTAGGTACTGCGATTTGTGCTTGAATACATTGTGATTTTGCTTGGTTGCTAAAGAGAATCAAAGTATAGTGGAAAGTGTACCCATGGTTCAGTACAGATGATGCTCAATGGCCTCAATTGTGAGAACTAGCAACTATGAAGACATTAGACTACAAGAGTCTGAGATAGGAAGTGGAAGAAACTTGTAACCAAGACATGTGTTAGTATTTAAAGTGCTTGACTCTGGAGACTTAGGCATCTAGCTCAGTGATAGATGATTTGTTTAGCATTTGTGAGACCTCACATAGCAGAAGAATAAAGAAATTAACTATAGTGGTTGACTCAAAGAACTTTTAGTACAAATATAAACTTGCATTAGGCAATGTAAAAGGGCCTTTCTTCTCCCATATTACCCTAGAATGGTTCTGTGTATGGGGAAGAGTGGTTGATTATTTGTCTATAGAAGCAGATACAGTATAAATTCACAAACCTACATTTTAAAATAATACAAATATACCATTGAAAGTTGAGCCTTTCTCTTGGATTTTATTGTTTGGGTCCATACTATGTTTATACTGTTTAATTCCTGATGTAAAAGTAAAATGCATTCCCCAATTTATGTTCTGTTACTTGTAATGAGTTTTCTTTTTGTCTTGTATACTCTAGCAGCAATCTTATTGCTGACACAATATTTTTCCATTCCAAGATAGAGTCAGAGCCGTGAAATGAAACGGTAGTACTGAAAACAGCACTTGTGAACACTACAAACTTAAAAAAAAAAAAACACTTTGAGGTGAACTATGAAATGTGCCTACATGAATTTGGCAATAATGGGCATTCTTGGCTTTGTTCTACATAATTCATATTAATTCATGTGTTACCTTCTGCTGTGGGCTTGGCAGTCTCCTAGGAAGACTGGCGTTTTTCATGTTCCTATTAAAAGTTTATTTGGAAAGCAGGAGAGGGTGAGGGAGGTTTGAGGAATACCTATGTAATTGATTTAGAACATATAAAATAAATGCTAACCATTTCTTCTAATGTCTTTTAAAACATTCTATAGGTGATTGAAAAATTGACTTTTGTTCTTGCTCCACACACAATTTTATTCAAAAAATATTCATTTGCTTATCATTTGATGTTAAACTGCTGTCATGTTCAGCTTTGTTTCATGCAATACAGGCCTATCATATCTTATTCTAGAGAATTCTTTATTCAATAAAGTTTTGAGAGAGTGGTTCATGTGTATTCCTCCTCTGATAGCTTCTGACTGGTCTTTTAAACTCTTCATTAGCACATCTTTATTTAAACAAGCTAAGCTGGGTGTGGTGGCTCATGAAGGCCAAGGCAATTGCAGAGGAGTGTTCTAGGCTAGCTTGGACTACAGTGTAAGACACCCCCCATCACCACCCCCTGCCCCTGAACCAAAATTCAATTTAATCACAGTTTTTGAAGTTCAGGTGAAGTGACTCTGTGACATGTTTGTAGGATCAGCATTATTCACTTTATGTAACAGACTCATGGTTATATCTATGACTTCCAGATGTACAAAAAGAATGTAGCTGGGTTTTTTCCCTTCTATTTTAAGGGATGTACCCTCATCATTAAGTACCTTCCCACCCTAGGTAACTGGGGAAAATGGAGAACATAGGAACAGACCATCAAAACAGGAGTTTATAACGTCTACTACTGACAATTGACACAGTCTCATTTGGAAAATCTAGCCTCCTAGTTAAATGATGAGTTTTTTAAATGATCAGTTTTTCTTTTTAGAAGTGGTTTGTGAAGATTAATCAGTTATTTAGTAATGGGCGCTTGGACCTTTTGTACACTGCAAAACTTCTGAAGCCTTGAAATCAGATTGGGTATTGCCACTGCCACCCCCCTATACCGGTTCCATTCATTTTCACATGTAGTTTGCTTGTTTTCATTACACTTTTTACTCTGAGATAATTGCAGATTCAAAAGCACTTGTAAGAAATAATAGATTTTGTATATCATTATATCCAATAGTAACTTTTTTGTTTTTATTATACTTTTTTTATATTTTTCTTATTTTACATATCGATCCCAGTCCCCCTCCCCCCGACTCCCTGGCCCACTCTCCCCCATCCCATGTCCCATCTCCCATCCACTCCGCAGGGAGGGCGAGTCCTTCCAGGAGGGATCATCAAAATCAAGTCATTTGGGGTAGGCCCTAGGCCCTCCCTCTTGTCTCTAGGCTAAAGGGGGTATCCCTCCATGGGGAAATCAGTTCCCAAGGTCCTTTCATGCACCAGGGATACATCCTGGTTCCACTGTCAGAGGTCCCTTAGACTACCCAGGTCTCATAACTGAGACCCACATTCAGGAAATCTGGGTTGGTCCTATGCTGGTTTCCTAGCTATCAGACTGGGGTCCATGAGCTGTTCCTAGCTATCAGACTGGGATCAGGTCAGCTGTTTCTGTGGGTTTCTGTAGCCTGGTCTTGACCCCTTTGCTCATCACACCTCCCTCTCTGCAACTGGAGTTCAGAAGTTCGGTTCAGCATTTAGCTGTGGGTGTCTGCTTCTGCTTCCACCAGCTACTGGATGAAGGCTCATGTTTGTCTTTTTGTGACTGGGTTACCTCACTCAGGATGGTTTCTTCTAGTTCCATCCATTTACCTGTGACTTTCAAGATCCCATTGTTTTTCTTCCCAGAGTAGTACTCCATTGTGTAAATGTACATTTTCTCCCTCCATTTTTCAGTTGAGGGGTATCTAGGTTGCTTCCAGGTTCTAGCTATTACAAATAATACTACTATGAACATAGTTGAACAGATAGTTGTCCTTGTTGTATGATTGTGCATCTTTTGGATATATGCCTAAGAGTGGAATTACTGGATCTTGAGGTATACTGATTCCCATTTTCCTGAGGCACCGCCATACTGATTTCCAAAATGGCTATAAATGTTTGCACACCCACCAGCAGTGGAAGAGTGTACCCCATTCTCCACATCCTCTCCAGCATAAGCTGTCTTTGGTATTTTTTAATTTAGTCATTCTGACAGGAGTAAGATGGTATCTCAGAGTTGTTTTGATTTGCATTTCCCTGATAGCTAAGGATGTTGAACACTTTCTTAAGTGTCTGTCATTGTAGAGTCCTCCATTGAGAAGTCTCTATTTAGTTCTTTTCTCCACTTTTTTTATTGGATTATTTGGTGTTTTGGTGACTACCTTCTTGGGTTTTTTTGTATATTTTGGAGATCAACCCTGTGTCAGATATGGGGTTGGTGAAGATCTTTTCCCATTCTGTGGGCTGCCCTTTTGTCTTGTTGACGCTGTCCTTTGCCTTACTGCTTCTCAGTTTCAGGAGGTCCCATTTATTAATTGTTGATCTCAGTGTCTGTGCTACTGGTATTTTGTTCAGGAAGTGGTCTCCTGAATCAATTTGTTCAAGGTACTTCCTATTTTCTCTTCTAAGAGGTTCAGTGTGGTTGGATTTATGTTGAGGTCTTTGATCCATTTAGACTTAAGTTTTGTACATGATGATAGATATGAATCTCTCAGTATCCCTACAATATACAAATGACAACCTGGCTGAGAAGGAAAACAGAGAAACATCACCCTTTACAATAGCCACAAACAAGTAACTTTTTTGGAGACAGGGTCTCTCTATGTAGCCCTGTTTTTGGCTTGGAATTTGCCTTTAAGGGACTTGCTATGTAGATAAGACAGGCTTTGAACTCACAGAGATCCACCTGACTTTGCCTCCACAGTGTTGGGAGTAAAAGGGTGTACCATCACATCTGTCCAAATAAGTGTTGTTAAGAATGTTATAGAACCAGCTGTCATGTATCCCAATCTGGTCTTAAAGCTGTGATGCTTTACTATGAAACTGAAGATGACCTCGAACTTCTGATCCTCTTGCCTTTACCTCCTTAGTGCTGATATTACAAGTGTGTGCCACAATGCTTGATTTATACAATGCTGCAGATTGTGTCCATGGCTTTGTGCATGCCAAGCAAGCACTCTGCCACTGATCTACACCATTAACTTTTATTGTTTATTTTTTGTTTGTGTTTTAAAACAGGATCCCTTGTAGGTCCCTGCTAGTCTTGAACTCAGTGTGTATCTAAGGGTGACTTTGAACTTATGATTTATTTCTACTTCTCCCATCTACTAGAATTAGAAATGTGCCCCATTATACCTGTTAACTTGTAGCATATTTTCATAGGTAGAAAATTAACATCGACATAATCCATTAACCTTTAGATTTCACCAATTTTAATATACACTCATTGTGTTTAGTTAAGTATAACGTTATAATTTGTGTAGAGTTGTTTATAACTTGGCTAGAGTTGTGTGGCCACTATAGTCAAAATACATAGTAGTTTTAGAAATACTTCCTTTTTATAGTCATAGCCACATCTTTTCCTTATGCCTGGCCCTTGGAAACTCCTAATCTTTACTGCCAGTAGTTTTGTCATTTCAGTGATACTATTTAAACAAATTATATAGCCCATAACACTTTTTAAGATTTTTTTTTGCCATGTTGTTGCTTGTGTGTACTATGTATATGGATATGTCTGCCTGTGCATGTGGAGGTCATAGGTTGATGCCAGCTGGAGGACCTGGAAGGAATGAGATTATCCTTTCTGGGTCAGAACTAGAAGTGCGTGTCTCTGTGTGATAATAAAGATCCCCAAATGAAGTCTATAGGCAACACTTTAAAAATTATTTTTAAATAGTGTCTGTATATCTGTGTGGCTCAGGTTTGCCTTGAATGTCCTGTGTAGCAGAATGGTTTCAAACTCATAATCCTTTGCCCCAGCCTCC